TGCATTCCTAGTGCAGTTTTAAAGTTAAAAGTACCTACTTATCTAAAATTCCTTAAATTGTTGATTACAGCAACTATAGTTTAAAATAACTTCTTAGTTAATGATTCCTTTGGTGCTTCAAGATGTATCTGGTAATTGAAGTGGAATTCTGTTGTCAGTTTGCACTAGACTAGAACTTCAGGACTGTCAGCATAAAAAGTCTATTTCTGACTGCCTGCTCTGCTTTTTAAATTCACACTTCATTTTCATTTGAGATAGTATTCTACTAATACTTATACTTTCGCTGAGCTGGACAGAATTTTGCATTTGGAATAAAGAGATGAAATAAAGGATTTAAATCTGAGCATAAAAGGTATATGGCTAAGCTTCTTAATTCTTGATGTGTATACTTTTACACTCAAAAAAAGAAAAATAAAAGGTCTGCCACAGGACTGTGAGTGGAAGAGATTTCAAGTGAAAGAAGATTTATTCTTGGCATGTTAAAACTGACTAGTAGATCAAAACCTTAAAGTTTTGGTAGTTTGCTTTGTGAAGTATGAAGAAGTGGCATTTCTTTTCATGCACATTTAATAAAGTGTTGATGCGTGCTAAATGGAATAAGTAGAGTTGGAACAAAATAATTTTGATTATGCTTTTACAGATTTGAAGGTTAAAGTAAGTGGCATAACTGTTTTTGCCCAGATGGATCTGTACAGAGCACTTTTGTTTTGCACATAGTTGTCCATTCTGCTCTAATGAATTTTTGCCTTAAATAAGCCAAATAACTGAAATTCCAGATAGCAGGTCAGGAGATAAATGGTAGTTCTACACAGTCTGCTCTGTATCATGTTTAAGAAACCACCAGAATTAGCAGCACTTCACTATCTGCCAGCAATTAAATATTCCCTGGTATTTTAGCAATGCACCATTTCAGCAACTGTGTGCATTGATATCTCCTAAGAAGTGCACAGGATAAAGAACTGTTTAAGATAGCATCACAGAAGTGGTGTATTCAGTGTTAGACTGTTAATTTAAATTTTTGCTGATATATGCTGTGGAGGGCTGTGAAGATGGGGCAATAAGTTTGTGTTCTGTTCACAGATCCTGCCTGCTGCCCATGGCTTTCAGGGATGTGAATGCAAGGCAACACATTGGACTTCAGCAACTCTCTTCCTTAGCCTTAGCTGGAAGAACATTACTGGGGCCAGTGAAATCATGTAAATTCATTGTGGATGAAATCACCAATGAAAGCACATTGATTTGTTCTGCTGTTAGACTGATTGAAAGTTTGGATTTAACTAGTGCTGCTGGACAGCTTCTTAACGAAACCATTCAGGCACAAACCAAGGAGTTTAAGACTGGAATGAGTACCCTGTTGTTTCTTGTTGGTGCGTGGAGCAATGCTATAGTGGAATGCCTCCAGCAAAATGTTCCGGTTTCAGCAATAGTATCTGTGATGTCTGAGGGGTTGAACTCTTGCTGTGAGAGAGTCCAGTGTCTTCAAATATCAATACATGATGTAAAGAAAGAGCTCTGTTCTAGCAGTGTTAGGCCAAATGCTTCTAAAAGCAAAACTTGCCAAACTGGATGTGACAGTCCTCCAAATTCCCAGCTTTTCCTGTATTTTCAGAAAGATATTTCTGTACCAGAAATAATTCCAATTAATTCCTATTCCCATCAAGATGATGATTGTAATTTTAACAAGTACCTGGTTTCGCCTTTGCCTGGCTTTGATTCAGTAGCTTCTCTTGTCAAACCAGCGGGTGACAAGAGTACATCTGTGATTTCTGGAAGTGGTGTCACCACATCCAGCTGTAACAAACGAAAGCTGACCCACAGCAGGTACTTCAGCACTCTAGGAAAAAGCCTTTTTTCAAGTCAGCAAGGTAATTTTCAGGAATACCTTCTGGGACCATCAGCAGATTCATGTGAATGTGGTGGTTTAGGACACCTGGCAATGGCTCTGAGCCACGGAAATGAAACTAGCATGAAACTGCTACAAAGCATTGTTACATATCAGCAAGAGACAGCAGGACACAGTGGCTCTTCCCAGTTAAATGTTGCAGAAATTGTGACATGCTGCTTAGTGGGCCTGCCTGAAAGCTATTCTTGTGCCTCCCCAGGCTTTGTCACATTGGTATCACCAGAACAAGTCACAGTTATCAAACACTTTGAAGACAAACTCCTTCGGATTCTGCTAATAGATGGTGACCTAACTGAGCAATATCGTCACTTAGGTTTTAACAGACCATGTAATATGAGGACCATAGTGGAGCATCCTAACCTACAGGAAGGAGACCTGTGGCTAAGCAGTATGGTAGATAATCTGATAAAATTTGAAGTAAACCTGGTTTTGGTCAAAGGAAATGTGTGTGAAAACTTAATGGAAAGATGCATTGCAAATAGTATATTGTTAGTTAGTTCTGTGACTTGGAATGTGTTGTGTGCCTTTGGGGAAGTCACTGGAGCTCAGCCAGTGACATACCTCACCCAGCTGAACGTTTCTTGTGTGGGGAGTGGGGCCCAAGTGGAGTTGTGGAAGGCCTGTGATGGGCGTACAATGGATCTGGGTGAACTCGTGCCGGTCAGAATAAAAGCACGAGGAATTCCCCTGCTCACAGCTGTGCTTACCACTACTGTAGCTTCAAAGATGCAGCTCATTGAAGACCAGTTCTGGACGTTAGTGTATCGACTCCACCATGCTTTAAATGACAAGAAGGTTTTTATTGGTGGTGGTGCAGTGGAACTCTTGTGCCTCAGTCACATTCAGATGCTTGTTGAACAGCCTTTACAGCCACCAAATCAAAATGCTGCGAAAGAGTTTCACAATCCTTGGCAGCCAGCATCTGCTACTGAGTATAAATCAGTTGTGCTCCAAGCGTTAGCAAGCGGCTGGAAACAGTATCTCTTGATGGTTATGTGTAACACCACAAAAGCTGCATCGAAGTTGGAAGCGTGCACCTCAGTTGACCATTACCTCAGAAAAGCAGCTGACTGTGGCTCTCCTTCAGCATACATACTGAAAGAGTTTAGAAGAGGTGATCTGCTCAGGGACGCTGCTGGTCCCTTTGCTGACCACAGGGAGGGTTTAAAGGTTTATGATAATGTTACAGCCAAGACAGAGGCATGGCGGAGAGCTCTAGATTTGGTGCTACTAGTACTTCAAACAGATGCTGAAATTGTCACAGGTCCCAGAGAGAATCAGATACTGAACTCACATGTCTCAAGTGAATTTATGTTTTTATAGGATTTGCAGGCTTTATTTATAAGTCCATGAGTCCAAGGGCAACCTACACTTCTTCATAGTTTATAAAGCAAACATTTAGATGTGATTATGACTTTGGAGCCCAACAGCGGAAATCAGAAGATGCGACAGTCACAAAGTAATTTCTCATTTCTAGAAACAGGAGTTAAAAAGCAGATAGAAATCACTTGTGGATTTCTCTCTAACCCCAGCTGTGCATTTCTAGCCAATAATATTGTTCGTATGGATAGATTCATCCAGTCAAACTGACTAATGTTATTTAGCAGAGCAAATGTGCAATTCTTTTTTTCATTATAATGAGAAGTGCTAGGCAGGTGGACATATTGAGTCCAGATGGAGAAAAGTTTGATACCTTGGATATGCTTATGTTCTGAACATACACTGTCTGTATGAGGTATCTGGATTTGTGTTCTGTAAATTATTCTTAGTTAACGTCTTTTAATGTCTTCTAAAGAAGAATAGGGACATAACATTAGCATATTTGTGTTAATTTCTGTACAATGCAAATGGAAGAGTTAAATGTGCAGTAATTATGAGTGCTACCTTTTATGCTGAAAGATTGTATTAATAGATGCTAATTTTGCATATTTATATGTATGTCCTATTTCAAATATATACCCTTTGAAATTTTCTTCATTTTGACATAAATTTAGGCAGAATCCTCCCCTTTGGTGTTACGGACTGGATGTGTCTCTACAAAAAATTTCCCTTAATTTGCAAGCTGGCGTCTTAGATTATTCTCTGGGCTTTCTCAGTTACTCTTGCAAAGGGGAAAATGTATGTTTTAGCTGTTAGCTAAAAACTGGAAACAAATCTATCATGATGATTGAAGCAAGGCATTTTTACTGTCTTTCAACACTTGAAATTTGAAAGCAGAGCCATGGACAACTGGCACTTTGTTGCAAGAAAGAGGAGTGTAACTATGGAGATAGCTGTTCAGAATGCCAAATTCAGAAAAAAAGTAAGTGAAATGTCTCACCAGTGTAGTGAAAACAGATTGGAAAAGGAATGGAAATTGTGATGCTAAAGCAGATTCTTGCTTTTAGGAATGTTTTCATTAAAATGCTGATGTCTGGAAGTACTAGGGTTAAACACTTACTGGTTGCAATTGCTTGTGCTGATGGCAGACTGTCCTTCTGTGGTGAGAGCTAAGAATTAGGGTGGGCTAAAGAGTGTTTTCTGAGGTGTGATTCAGTGGAAAGGCAGACATATTTTCTTTGAGGCATCTCCCCACTGCAGAAGACATCTTGGATAAGAGCCATCAGCTGCCTCAAACCCCTGTGACCACTGGCAGTTCCCCAGTTGACCTCTGCTGACCTTTAACACAGTTGCTGTTTTCTCTTGGGAAGGCCCTTCCCTTCTACCTGTGCATTCAGGCTTGAGTTAATGAAAAATTGAGTTCCGAAAATGTCTTCCCAGTGGTGCAAACACCTCAACATTATATCCCATTGTAATTGTCAATAGGTATTTGACAGAATGTGGTATTTTCTACCTCCCACACGTTCACTACATCTTTTTCCTTCCATTTATGTCTTTAGCCCTATAAAATAACTCCATAACCTATACCGCATTTAGTTAAAAATAGCCCTTTCTGAGACTTGCTTACATCTGGTAGGTCTCCATAGCTGGGGATTCCATGGGGAGGTGGGATAGGCTACTGAGGTTCTGAATTAACCTTAGGCACAAGGCGGAATTGGGATCCTTAGAAACAGCTTTTGAGTGTTGAACTGACCAGAAGCCCTGGTCAGATAGAAAAGAATCTATCTAAACGCGTTTTATCCCGGAGTTTTCTCCTACACTAGTCTCACATTCAGATCTTTCACAGACCTGTTTACCCAAGTGGATCACACTAGGTGAATAATTGATGTATTCTGTATGTCAGGAAAAGAAAGACACAGATAATGAAATTCACCCTCAAATACAGTTTAGGTACATATAGGTATATATGTCTGTGCATATATTACAGCAGTGTTATACAGGGGGTTTTCAAAAGATTCAAAGTTCTCATTGCTTAATTGCATATTTTATTTTTTTATATATTTATATTCAACTCACATGTAGCTGAAAGGCTCTTAAGGAGCTTAAGGAAGCATATTTATAACAGTTGCCTTTTAGAAATAGGGGAGAAAAACTTTTCTGTGTGTAGAAAGTTATGCTTGTAGTATTTAGTCATCTCTGACCTGAAACCATAAATATTTTGGTTTTCTAAAAACTCCGTTATTCAGTGGCTTTTGCCAGAATCTTGTCAGAACTATAGGAGTTTATAATTTTATTTTGAAATGATAGTTCCTAGCAGCATAGGGATCCAGCTGTATTAAATTTTTGGTCAGTTGGTAACTGGTTGTGGTTTAAGCCCAGCCGTAAATCAGAACCACGCAGTCTCTCTCTCACAGTCCCCCCTTCCCCCCCCCCCCCTCCCGCTCCTGGAGGGATGGGGAGGAGAATCAAAAGAATATAACTCCCATGGGTTGAGATAAGAACAGTCCAGTAACTAAGGTATAACACAAACCACTACTGCTACCACCAATAATAATAATGATAAGGGAAATAACGAGGGAAGAGAATACAACCGCTCACCAACCGATACCCAGCCCGACCCAAGCAGTGATCTAGCCCTTCCGGGTAACTGCCCCCAGTTCTACATCCTGGGCATGGTGTGCTGTGGTATGGAATACCTCTTTGGCTAGTTTGGGTCAGGTGTCCTGTCTCTGCTTCCTCCCAGCTTCCCCTCCTTCCTGGCAGAGCATGAGACTCAGAAAGCCCTTGGTCAGACTAAACATTACTGAGCAGCAACTAAAAGCATCGGTGTTATCAGCACTGTTCCCAAGCTGAAAGTCATAACCACAGCACTGCACCAGCTACTAAGAAGGAGAAAGATGACTGCTATTGCTGAACCCAGGACACTGGTGTTTCACTGCTTGGCCACACTCTTTGTGTACTAAGATATAAGAGAGAAAGATTTCGGTAGTCAAAAGAGGCAAAAGGAGTTAGTGGCTGTTCAGTGAGAAGGAGATGGAAACACGGCGTAAATAAATATAAACTGCTGCTCCGCAAGTGTTTGCAGGTCATCTTTGGCTTATGCTGTTTTTCTTGAACCTCCTGTACTGAGCATTGCATAACCCCTGTTGCCAAGAAAAGATCCAGTTGCACTTTATTTGAATAATAGAGCTAAGTGGATTATGGAAAAACTGCGTACACGAATTGTGTTGAGGTGGTCCAAACAGCTATTTATAGGGCCCTTAAACACCAAAACTGGCACACCAAATGTTGAGAAAATCCAAAATGATGTAATTTTTCCAATCAGGCTTTTAAAAAGCATATAATGAGATATTTAAATATTGTGATGCAGAAGTTTTCTAAAATCTGTCAAGCATTATGTTTTGGTTATTAACACTTGTTTTTCTACAGGCCAATGAAATGGAAAGTTGTATAAACTAGCTAGATATTGTATCCTGCATTACTTAAAATTATTTCTTTGATACACCTAGAAATTTAACATGCATGCTGCCCTAAAGACATCCTCCTTCTGCAACATGAAATACAATGTACACGTGTTTCCTTCTCCACTTCAAAGCTCTTGAACCTCTTTGCAACATAGAATGAAGGTCCCGTGCATGTCTGACATGGCTCTTAGCGCAGGGAATGATTTCAGCTTCTCCCAGGCAGAGGCTCCTCCTACGGTACACAAAGGCTGTTTGTGTAGAGTATTATGTGATGCAAGAGCTAAGCTTTTATATTTTATGTGCCTGGGGAAATGGCAGAGATTTTAGGGAAAGGATTGTCCCAAGGAGCATCTCACTCTCTGCTGAAACTCTGTCCTAGTCAGTAGTCTCATTTCTCCCTTCCAGCCCAGTATCATCATTCCCAGCTCACTCCTCCTTCTATTTAGGGCTGATGCCATTTCATTTAACATTTATAAGGACAACCTTTTAGGCCTCTCTGCGCCTTCATGATTTCCTGAAATGTAGTAAAGGTCATAGCAGCCAGACCGTTGTCCCAAGGTGGGCTAGCCTAAAGCTCACAGCCTGCTTGCAGATTCTGGTCCAGTAAGGACTGATAACTGCAAAGACTGATTGAAGCAGATTATTTGGGATGCTGTTCTGGGCTGCCCTATCTCCACTTCCATTTATCCTGGGAAAGATTCAAGAATGGGGAGCTGAGTGGCTTTTTTTTTTTTTTTTGTTGATTCAACTTTGAAAAAATCTGCCTGCTTTTCTATGCTTCTCATTTGGGGGAATAACACGGTTTGCTTTTGTCGTGGTTTAAACCCTAGCCAGACAGCTTGTTCACTCACTCCCAGTGAGTGGTGCCGGGCTGAGAGCAATCAAGGCCCCACCCTGGGGCTCTCCCCTTCCCCGCTCCCGGAGGAACGGGGAGGAGGATTGAAAGAGTGCAACTCCCACGGGTTGAGACAAGAACAGTCCAGCAACCAATGTACAACACAAATCACCACCGCTACTACCAACTACAACAATGATAAGAGAAAATAACAAGGGAAGAGAATACAATACCACTGGCCAAGAAATGAGTTCCACAGGGAAGCCCGTGTCCTTCCGGGTAACCCCCAGTTGCCCCCCACCCCGGGCATGACGTGCTGTGATATGGAATACCTCTTTGGCTACCCTGGGTCAGACGCTCCGTCTCTGCTTCCTCACGGCTTCCCCTCCTCTCTGGCAGAGCATGAGCCTCACAAAGTCCTTGGTCAGGGACTTTGTCCCCCTCTACAATATGTAAAAGTTCTGACTGAGCTGGGCCAGCCCTGTTGGCAGATGCTCTGGTGTTGACCAACCAGGTGGCCTTTGGTAAGTGTGTATCCCAATGCTTGAAAGTTTCCCCACCCATTGCTCTCAGTGTAGTTTTTAACAGCCCATTGTACCGTTCGATTTTCCCAGAGGCTGGTGCATGGCAGGGGATGTGATATACCCACTCAATGCCATGCTCTTTGGCCCAAATGTCTATAAGGTTATTCCGGAAATGAGTCCCATTGTCTGACTCAGTTTTCTCTGGGGTGCCGTGTCGCCACAAAATCTGTTTCTCAAGGCCCAGGATAGTGTTCCGGGCAGTGGCGTGGGACACAGCGTTTGTTTCCAGCCATCCGGTGGTTGCTTCCACCACGGTAAGCACATGGCACTTGCCTTGGCAGGATGTCGGCAGCATGATATAGTCAATCTGCCAGGACTCCCCATATTTGTAATTCAGCCATCGTCCTCCATACCAAAGAGGCTTTAACCGCTTGGCTTGTTTAATTGCAGCACATGTTTCACACTCATGAGTAACCTGGGCAATAGTGTCCATTGTTAAGTCCACCCCTCGATCACAGGCCCATCTATATGTTGCATCTCTGCCCTGATGGCCTGAAGTGTCATGGGCCCACCGGGCCAAAAATAATTCACCTTTATGTTGCCGATCTAAGTCCATCTGAGCCACTTCAATCTTAGCCGCTTTATCCACTTGTTGGTTGTTCTGGTGTTCCTCAGTGGCCCGACTCTTGGGTACATGGGCATCTACATGACGTACCTTCACCACCAGGTTCTGCACCCAGGCAGCAATATCTTTCCACAGTGCAGCAGCCCAGATGGGTTTACCTCTGCGTTGCCAGTTGCTCTGCTTCCATTGCTTCAACCACCCCCACAGGGCACTTGCCACCATCCATGAGTCAGTATAGGGATAAAGTACTGGCCACTTTTCTCGTTCAGCAATGTCCAGGGCCAGCTGGATGGCTTTCACCTCGGCAAACTGACTCGATTCACCCTCTCCTCCAGCAGTTTCTGCAACTTGTTGTCCAGGACTCCATACAGCTGCCTTCCATCTCCGATGCTTTCCCACAATACGGCAAGAGCCATCAGTAAACAAGGCATACTGCTTTTCACTTTCTGACAGTTTATTATATGGTGGGGCCTCTTCAGCACGCACCACCTCCTCCTCTGGTGACATTCTGAAATCTTTGCCCTCTGGCCAGTCCATGATGACTTCTAGAATTCCTGGATGACTGAGATTTCCTGTTCGAGTTCATTGTGTAATTAGTGCAGCCCATTTACTCCATGTAGCATCAGTTGCATGATGTGTAGAGGAGACCCTGCCTTTGAACATCCAGCCCAGCCCCTTACTTGAGAAACACTAATACAGCAAATACCGGATGGAAGTAAGATACGATATACTGAAACTGTGAGATCAAGAGGAGCAACCTTGAGAGCCAATAAATCAGCATTGTGACGAGTGACTATTAATCTGGTCAGATCTGTCGTTATCTCAACCCCTTGTGCCCCACGTTGGGCGCCAAAAAAACTGTAGTGGTTTAAACCCTAGCCGGACAGCTTGTTCACTCACTCCCAGTGAGTGGTGCCGGGCTGAGAGCAATCAAGGCCCCCCCCCCCGGGCTTTCCCCTTCCCCGCTCCTGGAGGAACGGGGAGGAGGATCGAAAGAATGCAACTCCCACGGGTTGAGACAAGAACAGTCCAGCAACCAATGTACAACACAAATCACCACCGCTACCACCAACGACAACAATGATAAGAGAAAATAGCAAGGGAAGAGAATACGATACCACCGGCCAAGAAATGAGTCCCACCCGGAAGCCAGTGTCCTTCCGGGTAACTCCCAGTTACCCCCCACCCCGGGCATGACATGCTGTGGTATGGAATACCTCTTTGGCTACCCTGGGTCAGGCGCCCTGTCTCCGCTTCCTCACGGCCTCCCGGCCTCCCTGGCAGAGCATGAGCCTCACAAAGTCCTTGGTCAGGGTAAACATCACTTAGCAACAACTGAAAACATCAGTATCACCAGCACTGTTCCCAGGCTGGAAGTCAAAACACAGCACTGCACCAGCTACCAAGAAGGAGAAACATGACTGCTACTGCTGAACCCAGGACAGCTTTTAACTTAGAAGCATCACCTGTCAGCATATTCCTTTTTCACATGTTGGAGCCTAAGTTTGTGAGACTTTTGCTCTGTTATTTCAGGAGACTGGTGCAAACTTGCACAAAAATGCTTTTTGAACAACGTAATGTAAAATGACACTAGCAGCTATACATTACATCTTTTATACATCTGTACTCTCCAAGCACTCCTAGCACTAATAAAATGTTTCTGGGTGGAGTTAGCAGTAGTATCTAATTGAGTAAGAAACAAGTTTATTCTGTTGTCCACGTATGGAAGCTTCCTAACCTCTTGATTTCCTTTTGAATTTCTTGATTTATTCCTGCCAGTGTTTGTTTTAAAACAGAAGTTCTCAGCATGTGTCTTGCCCAGTGACATTAGGAAATTTCTTGGCTGAGGCTTTCTGCAAGTGGATCAAAGTAATTGGGGATCTTGCTGTGAGCCAGCATCAAGAGCTGACCTTCTTTGAAAAGCAGGTTGACTACTCATAATCAGTGCAGGCAGGATATCTAGAAGAGCTGCACCAACTCTACCAGGTAACAAATAAATGAAATGTCTCATTATTGATTTTTTTAGTCTGAGGTTTGGTTTGTTTTTGTTTTTTTTTGGTGTGTGTATTTAAGCTCCATAACACCCTGATATATGACAGTGACATACTCAAACGTGACTGATCTGCGGCTTTAAGGATGTGCTCACAGTTATTGGAACCTGCAATGTTGCCAGAGCTGCTGTGCACAACAGGCACTTTTGAGAGAGCCTTTAACAACAGACTTACTACAAGCCTTACAATTTTTGTAAGGCAAATTGACAGGGTATGTTAAATAGTTCAGTTATTGTACAGCTGTCCTGGGTTCAGCAGCAGCAGTCATTTTTTCTCCTTCTTAGTAGCTGGTGCAGTGCTGTGGTTATGACTTTCAGCTTGGGAACAGTGCTGATAACACCGATGCTTTTAGTTGCTGCTCAGTAATGTTTAGTCTGACCAAGGACTTTCTGAGTCTCATGCTCTGCCAGGAAGGAGGGGAAGCTGGGAGGAAGCAGAGACAGGACACCTGACCCAAACTAGCCAAAGAGGTATTCCATACCCCAGCACACCATGCCCAGGATGTAGAACTGGGGGCAGTTACCCGGAAGGGCTAGATCACTGCTTGGGTCGGGCTGGGTATCGGTTGGCAGGTGGTGAGCGGTTGTATTCTCTTCCCTTGTTATTTCCCTTACCATTATTATTATTGGTGGTAGCAGTAGTGGTTTGTGTTATACCTTAGTTACTGGACTGTTCTTATCTCAACCCATGGCAGCTATATTCTTTTGATTCTCCTCCCCACCCCTCCAAGAGCAGGGGGAAGGGGAAAGCAGTGAGAGAGAGGCTGCATGGTTCTGATTTACGGCTGGGCTTAAACCACGACAATAGCAAATCTGTAGAATGCACCAATCTGGTACTGACTGGCTAGAAATACTTTTCGGGGGGGATCAATCCCACATTTTTCACTTTTTGAAGGGCCCAGGGCATGACAAGTGTTCAAGATTGTGGCACAGTGATACATTTACTCTGTCCCTTGCATAACTTCTTTGTATTAATTTTTTGCCTTGGGAGTTATGTTTGAGTTTTTAGCCTTTGGTAACTTCCAGAATGTGATGATGTGTACTGCTGTTTCTACAGCTTTTGCCTCAAAGTCACTTGTGCAAGTATTAACTTGCTGACAGGACTTTGAAGCAGAGAGAGTATATTCGTTTTATTCTCTTCCCATAGATAAGTAATCCTTTTGAGATCACTTCGACACCAATACAGTTAGAGCGTAGTTTGTATGACACAAATGTGGAAAAATAAAAAAAAAATCACAGAGTAAATTCTGCCACTTGCTATCAGTGTTGCTGCATTAATTAACAATTTATTGCAAAGCTGCAAGACATAGATCCTTTTCTTTCAAGATGGTGTGTTAACCATGTATGACTAGATCTTCAGTCTTAAAGGACTTTTTCTTTGTAGATCACATTGTTCCAAGAACAATGTCCACAGGGATGATTTCAGCATAGTTGAAGGGATAGAAAACAGCTCAGGTATGCACACAAGCTAGAGACTGGGTTTTATCCTGAATGGTGAAAGGAAGAAAAAAACACACTGTTCCATCTATTTTGGCTTCCTAGCTGTTTATTACATTAATAATATCAATTTCTTTAGACTTTTGCAAAACACTTATCTTCCCATTTCCCAGTTAGCATTTGTGTCTGTCCAGGTGTTTTAAATGAATTTCACAAATTCTATACTGTGTATTCTGCAGTGCCTAGTAGAGCTGGAACCGTGTTATGGGCATTCCAGTAAGCCTTGAGAACATAATCTGAGTTGGAAACTTCTGCAAGTACGTCTGCAAGTCCTTACAAATACTTGCAATACTTGCAGATACAGCAGGGACTGATCAGGCACAGATGGTGAAAGCTCATGGGAAACCAAGAAATCAAGAAACCAAGGCCTGTATTTGGTTTTCCCTGACTAGTAAAGATTCAAAACAAAAGTAAAAATCTGTTTAAATGGAAAAGAATTCTTTCCTTGGGGACCAAGTGCTACTCCAAACAATAGTTTTTTTTTTAATTATTATAAGAGTATTAAAGTTGGCATGTAGTTTTTATTTAGAAGTAGTGGGAAGATTGGTCCCTGCCTTTTATTTTAGCTCAAATAAGTAGATTGGGGTTTATCACTATTCACAACTTTTGTCTGCTGCGTTTTGAGACCAAATATTTAACCAGTGTTCCAGATTTGAAGAGATGACTAAAAATAACACAGTTGGTGAACTTATTTATTTCTGAGGTGTCATCTGACTTTATCTAACTAAAGTTAAAAACAAAATAAAAGCAAACAAGAGGAACCCCATATTTGTTAGCACTGGAAAGCCAAATTAACTCCATAGGAGTTGTATAAAAGAAATTTTATATATATATCTACATGTATGTAAGCATTCTAGAGCAGAACAGACACAGTTTCTTAGTTAGCAACATTAACCTGTGGTCTAGTCAAACAGTCCTGAACTAGGGCAGTTAATCTATTCACCTCTTGTTATGTCAAAGAAAAAGATTATAATACCTCCTTTTCCAGGGTAACTATTATAAGTAAATCTTCATCTTGTCCAAGAGCAGCCTTGTAAAAATAAAACCCACTCCAGTAAACTGAAAGGAATTATGTCTTGTTTGGGGTATTAATTCCTGTATTTCATTTGCTGTTCCCTGTATTTGCAGTCCTGTCTGTGGGTTGCAGCTCAAAGATACATGTATACCATGCGCATATTAATTTAGAGGAAGCAGTCATGAATGCTGTATATGTACATGTACATGTGTATAATTCCGTATCAGTATAATGTCTTTGATTCCATAGTGATGAAAATTAGACTAATACAGCTGCAGAAGTAGGACACCAAGCTGTGTGGTTTGGTTGATACGTTGGAGGGAAGGAATGCCATCCAGAGGGACCTTGACACGCTTGTGAGGTGGGCTGATGTCAACCTTATGAAGTTGAACCATGCCAAGTGCAAGGTCCTACACCTGGGTTGGAGCAATCCCAGGCACAGCTACTGGTTGGGCAAAGAAGAGATTCAAGGCAGCCCTGTGGAGAAGGACTTGGGGGTGTTGGTTGATGAGAAAATGAACATGAGCCAGTAGCGTGCGCTTGCAGCCCAGAAAGCCAACCGTATCCTGGGCTGCATCAAATGGAGCATGACCAGAAGGTCGAAGGAGGTGATCCTGCCCCTCTACTCTGCTCTCGTGAGATCTCACTTGGAGTATTGTGTGCAGTTCTGGTGTCCTCAACATAAAAAGGACATGGAACTGTTGGAACAAGTCCAGAGGAGGGCCACAAGGATGATCAGGGGACTGGAGCAGCTCCCGTATGAAGACAGGCTGAGCAAGTTGGGGCTGTTCAGCCTGGAGAAGAGAAGGCTGCATGGAGACCTCATAGCAGCCTTCCAGTATCTGGAGGGGGCCTATAAGGATGCTGGGGAGGGACTCTTCATTAGGGACTGTAGTGATAGGAGAAGGGGTAACAAGTTCAAACTTAAACAGGGGAAGTTCTTTATTGTAAGGGTGGTGAGGCACTGGAATGGGTTGCCCAGGGAAGCTGTGAATGCTCCATCTCTGGCGATATTCAAGGCCAGCTTGGACAGAGCCTTGGGTGAGATGGTTTAGTGTGAAGTGTACCTGCCCATGGCAGGGGTTTGGAACTAGATGATCTTAAGGTCCTTTCCAACCCTAACTATTCTATGATTCTATGGTATGTTTATTACATCAGTTTAATTAACTGACAAATTCATCCTAATATAACATTATTTCAATTCCCTGAACATGCCTTGCTCAAGGCAGTGAGTGTTCAGCCCCTCACTTCTCACTGCTCTTCATCTCTTTAGTTTATGTAAGCATTGTTTAAATACCCCAAAACATATTAAATATCCAAAGCATATTATTCAAGTTCTTCTGGTTCAAGGATGCTTGTTTTCTGGAGCCATTTAGCTATGACAGAATGCTGATGGCTGCCAGAAGCCAGGGAACTCAGATGTTATTTGCAGTAAGAGTGCTTTACTGGAAAAGAAGCCCAAGTCCTTCTTTGTTTGTCTGAAGTACCATGCAGTTAAATTAAAAAAGTTTTTATACATGGCCCTGGCTGTGCAATTATTCTAGCTTCTATTTTCAAAGTATTTGGCACCTCAGAGCAGTGCTGTAAATAAGCTCAACAGAATTGCCGTGTGTCAGATCAGTAATTACTATGGATGGGGTTTCTGTGCCTGGTATCGGAAGGGCTCTCAAATCTCAGCTCCTGTGCTACATACTTGGGACTGTTTCCCAAGAGAGCTTGAGGAGGGCCTTCAGCCGTCCAGATTCCTCTCACAACCACTGATAAAGCCAGTCAAACTGTAGAAGAAAAGAGGAGTTTCAAAGTCAGGATAAGATGAAAGAAATTATTTAAAATTCCAATGTCTCTTACTTGTTAAGTCTGATCATTAAACAGACCTCATATTAAACTGTTTAAGAAAGATTTTCTAAAATGCAGGGGCTAATTTAGAAGTGTGACTTCTGTCTGTGCCAAGAGGTGCTGTTTTAATTAACTGTCTTTGCTTACCTGTAAAATAGAATTTTAGACTGCCCTACAACATGATACTTGGAATGTAACACATTAACTATGATGTGAAGAGGCATTATACAAACAAGATGTTCCATACCCTGTCCTTCCTCAAGTGATCATGTCCATCTCTCAGCTAACAAGTTAAAATAGGACTTATTTTGAATTGGATTTCTTTCAAAAGGCCAATCAAGAAGTTTTCTTTCTGTTTTATGTGTTGCTATGAGTTGCTACCACAAATTCAGTTTTTGAATGTGAATTTAAGATGCTTTTGCTGTAAAATCATTTGTCATGTGTGACAAGATGTTACTACGCTGATATGTTATTCTTAGGAGACTGGAGGGGAAGGGGGGATCATACTTTGGTCATGAATTAATACAGGAACCAATCCCTTTTTCATAAAAATGTCAGTGAAGTTTCCACTGCTTTGTGGAGTTAAAGGCTTGGTCCCTAAGAAACAGATTATTGCAAAAGCATGATTGTTCTTTGCTCTTCTGAGTACTA